TATTTTGCTTTTTAACACCAAACTTGCCATTTGGTTTTTATAATTTCTCTTTATTGTTATTTTCTATTTGATGAAATATTGTCATCATAGCTCCTTTACTTCTTTAAGCATAATTTCCTTAGTTATTTTGTTATATTTATAATAGCTCTTTTGAAGTTTTTGACTGCTGGGTCTTTTCATAGGCAGTTTCTGTTGCCTGTTTTTTTCTCGTACCTGAATCAACCTTTCCTGTATTTTTTTCTTTTGTGTGTCTCATTTTATTTTTGTTGTAATGGAACTTTTAGATAATTATTGTAGCATCCTTGACTACTAATTACCTCTCTTCCTCTCTGGGGCTTGTTGTTTGCTTATTTATTTGTTTAACAACTTGGTTGACCTACTATAGTGAAGCCTATTTCCCTTGCATTGTGAATTCACTAATGTCACTCCACAGAAGGCATAGCCTTGGGCATGTACACAATCACACTGACAGTGTTTTACCAGGGCTGTCTTTCCCTGATCTGTGTTACATTGTCTTCCTCCCTTCGGTATCACATTCAGCTGTCAGGTTCCACTAATTACTGACTGATTGCTCCATAATTTTCTACAGTGTCCTGGGGCATACATTATTCCATAGTCTGATCCAGTTAAATTCAAGCTCCTTTTCAAGGGTAGTTTTTAAAGCCACTCTTTGAGGTTAGTTCTGACCCCTGGATAGCTCTTTTCAGTTATTTCCTTGGCTCTCTCTAATAAACTACCTTGTCTACAGTTTATTATTTTGCTTCGTGGAGCTACCAGCCTCCTCCTAATTGCTTACCATAAAAATTCTTTATTGTTTTTGAGATTGCTGTTAGGCCTGAACTTCCCCCACAGTTTGTTCCAAATAAAGTTAATTCCTTTGCAGAGGACTCTGGAGATTTCTGTTCCTATGGCCTGCCTCTATGCTTGCGCAGAATCTCTCAGGCACCATTCTGAAGCTGGGGTTGGGGACAGTGGACTGCTTCTCTTGGATTGACACTCCTGGTTTATAAGTGAGGTGCAAGGTAGGGGCAGTAGCCTCTAGTCTTCTCCCTTTTTCTCTCTAGTGTTGAACTTCTAGGGAAATGGTGATTGGGGCCCCAGTATTGTTTGGCCTGCTGTGCCTGGGGTAGTACCTCTGTCTTAAATGTTTGGGCCAAGTGAAGGAAGGTTCTCTGACATTTTGACCACTCTCTCATGTAATTCAGCCTCTACAACATGGAGCTGGGGGTGGGGTTGGAGTGAGAAATGGTGGTGACCTGCCCATCCCAGGGAGATACTATAGTCCTTGACTTTAGGAGAGGAAACCCATCCTTTTGGCCACACCCATCCAGAGTAGAGCTTTCATTATATTGTGATGATAGTAGGGGAGGAAGAGGGTGGATTGTGGTTCAAGTGCCACTGACTGTCACTGTTCTTACTGGATTTAGTAGAGTTTCTTATACAAATGTTTGTTTATGTGCTACATGTTCATAGAACAATTTCTGGAAACTGTAAATGGTAGTTGTTATTTTAAATGTTATTTTACCCGTTATGTTTGTTTCACTGGGAAGCATGTCCATGGAAAACCTCATGTCACCATTCTGGAAGTTGTCTTTTTTATGTGCCACCTCAGCTTTCCTGTAATATTTATAGCTATCATTTGTGTATTGAAGGCTTATTATGCACTTGTAACATTTGTATTTCTGTCAAAGTCTATATTCTTGAATAGTCCAAGAACACTAAATACTTGGAAACATATATTCCTCTGACATGCTAAATGTCCTTGTCCGTTCCCACTGCTATAACAAAGTACCATAGACAGGGTAGTGTATAAAAACAGGAATGTATATCTCACAGTTCTTATGGCTGAAAGTCTGAGATCAGGGTTGCAGACCACCATCTTCTCATTATATCTTCACATAGTGGAAACAGAAGGAGCTAGCTCTCCAGCTTCTTTCATATGGGCACTTGGGCACTAATCCCATCCACAAGGGCTCCATTCTTATAACCTAATTATCTCCTAAAGGCCTCACCTCTAAATACCATCACATTGGAAGTTAGGATTTAAACCTGTGATTTTGGGGATGGCGGGAGACAGACATTTAGTCCATAACACTGGACTAGTTTGAGAAATAGTAAGGACTATATATTTTTATAAATATGTCCCTCTTATGAGAAACTAAGATTAAATTAAGATACATTCAGTCAGAACAGCTGAATGCAGTTATTTCACAGGGTGAGTTGGCATATTCTATTGAAGTTTTCAAAGATCCAGGGACCGCCTGAATCAGAATCACTGAGGTGATTGTTTAAAGAGCAGACTTTTGAGCTCTACTCCAGACTAACTCTCATGCAGAGACTAGTACAGATATTTGACTTATACTGTGGGCTAAATTTATGTGGTACAATCTTGGCTAACGTAAACTTCAAATAAATATTTATCAAATACATTGTGGAAACCATTGTGCTAGGAGCTGGTGATATAAAAAGAATAAGACTTGCTGCTGCAAAGCCTGAAGGCATGTATGATATTCATGAGATTAATCTGCTGGAAGGAAAGACCATTATAGAGTAACTCAGTGTATGATACAGGTACCATTAAATTTACAAAAATTGTATTCACAGAGAGTTGGGGGCAGAGTATACTTTGCAAGTCATCTAAAGACACACACACACACACACACACAAGCACGTGCACGCATGCGTGCGCATGCACACACACACACACACACACACACACACACACACACACAGACACAAACACACAGCCCATATGGGTCTTTATTAAAATAAAGATCTGGACTATGGGAAAGGGAAACCTGGAAAACAATTTAGAGACTGGCTTCCTGTGTACTTGGGATCCTGTGCTGCTTGTCCTCCCCCTCACTGTGTGTTCCACTGCTGCTTTTCTACTGATGAAATCAATAATAATGGAATATAAGTAAGTGTCGAATAAGATAAATTTCTTTTTGAACATATTCAGTGACTTGTCTTATGTAATGATTTAACAAACTTAGTTTTCATTCTTGACTAAGTATTAAATGTTTACTGCATGCCTAGGTACTCTTAAAAATTCTGAGTTTAACTTTTCTTCCAAAATATAGTTTGTTTTTCAGAAAAATTATTTTGTTCTCTTCGTTTGATTTTGCATAATTATTAACTAGGTTAGAAAGGAGGTTATAGATGACTTAAAATAGTATCAAAATGTAATGGATTTAGAGTACACTTATTGTTGAAATTACATCTGCTGTTTAGCAGCTCTTTTCCTGTTCTACAGACATCATCCAAAATCAATTTGGCGATAAATTCACTGTGAACATGGTATCTGATATATAGGGATATTTTCACTGTTCTGGGGACCTGAACTAAAAGTATTCAAAATAACGTGAGAACAACAATGTGGAGTCATTAAACGCGGCATAAATTGCTGATACAAATGGGCCATTACCACTTGCTAGTGTGTTGTTTCTTCTTTTTCATAGTTGAGGTTTTGTTTTTTGTTTTTGTGCTTGTCCCAAGCACTAGGACAGGCCTGAGTCGGGAAGATTTGCAGCCCCAGCTCCTTGCTTTTTTTTCCTTTTGCGCTCACTCGGTTCCTCCCCATCCTAGTCCTGACTCAGGCATCAGGAACCCACAGCTGTGCAGCTTCTGCCTTTATCTGGACACACGGCTCTCCATAGCCTCACTTTCGAGGGAGCTGCTGGCAGAGGAAGAGGTCCTTTTCTATGTGCCATTTCGACCCAGTGTATCATCTATTGCCGTTCTCCGTATTTCCACACATAGATGCTTTCTAATATGTGGTTTCTTCATGGATTTATAGACATGGAATTTTTTTTTCAAATGGGTCATTTAATCTAAATGCTCGTTTACTCTGAAACCTGGTAAATATTTCACTGGATAATGAAGAGTTGACTGGCATAAGAATGCTACTGAATGATCAGTATATAGGCACTCATGGTAAATAGCCCTGCTGGTGACAGTTGTTAAAGGAATCAGTGAGGACAGTTATACAGCACTACAGCACATGAGGAAGCTTGGGCCTTTTAGATTTCCTATTAAGGAGCATGTGTATATTGACAATATTCTGATTCTCTCTGATGCTGAGAGCCTTCTCGTAGTGTTGTTGTAATCATCGGAGTTGCTATTGCGGGAGCCTGGCTCAGACTTAGAGTATGGGGATGCTGAGATGCTAGATTTATAACTTGATGCCTTATTATTTCAAAACAAGCTGACTTTGCACATATCTGGGAACTAATTCTGAAGTTTGGACTGACATAACAGTGGGAAAAGGAGAAAAGAAATCTAACATCAGTTTGAGCACATATCAAGTTCTTGTGGTATAAGCAGTCATATTTATACTAGATTTGCAAAGTTAGTGTTATCATTCCCAATCTTTACATGAAAGGAAACTGTGGCTCTAAGTGTTAGGACAAGGGCTTGAGATTACACAGCTCGTCATTGGGAGAGCTGATATTCCAGCCTGGCTTGTTCCGCAGTCTACACTGTCTCCTCCTCATTCCCGCAGCCAGCAGACGGTTAGATGATTCTTTGTACATGTTTTTCGTAAGACTTATTACAAACTGGTTAAAATTACTAGTGAACATTCACCACAGTGGTTCTTTGCCCACCGTATGTCAAAATTTAAGGTGTATCTCAGTTTCACAAATCTGGGGTAACTTGCAACAGTAACTATTCACTTTCACTCGTTGTCTTAAGCACTTGATACCTTTTTTTATGGCCTTAAGATAGAGTTATTTGTCTTCCTCAATTCATCTGCCTAAGTAGATGGTAAACTTGTCCAGGCCCGGGCTGCACCACCTCCTCTCTGAGTTCTCTGAGGCACCTGACCCACACTATAAGGGGTCTTTCTCTTCCAAGGTCCATTTTAGATGTGTTGAATCAAACCTTGCAAGATTAATTTTAGTCTGTTTATGAGCTGGGTTTGAATTCACAATCTGTGGAATTCTTTAACTCATTATGAACTGAAAATAATTTTTTTATTTTATTTGGGTTCATTTTAGCAGATTTAAAGAAAGCTTCCAGTTCAAATGCTGCAAAATCCAGTCTCCTGAAATCTGGTCTCCGTCCTCCTGGATACTCACGTCTCCCAGCAGCCAAGCTGGCGGCGTTTGGCTTTGTCCGGAGCTCCAGCGTCTCCTCAGTCTCCAGCACCCAGTCCGGGGACAGTGCACAGCCAGAGCAGGGCCGGCCGGCCACCCGTAAGTGGGATGGGGCAGGGTGGGGTACCTGCACGGAATTAAAACCAGTGCGCCTGTGTAACTGTGTGTCATTTTCTTTGCATGATTGTTTAAGAATTCAGATCACCTCCCTTAGCTTCCCATTGTTGTGTTATTCATCTACTGAAGAAAAATAGCCCATTTACACCCCATTAGTTATGGGGAATTAGTGTGCTGGGAAAAAAAGATTGCAACCTCCTTTTACGATACAGAAAATGACTTATCCAGAGACAGATTCCAGCAGCCCTTTGCTTTGCAGATTCTAGGTAAGAAATCACAGAAAGATCCAAGAAAGGTGTTACTACATTGTGCTGTCATGAAGCATGCTAGATATTTAATATTAGCTGAAAGAATCATTTAGTCACCTGTGATTACCAGTAATGCCTTCACACTGCCAGAGCACTTGACTGGATTTCTGAAAGTGAAATAAATAATGTTAAAAGTAGCAAAGCACTGCCAAGCTTCTTTAAGGCCATGCCCAGGAAGGTCCCCATTAGCTGAGATGATGCTGTTGGAGGCCCGTTTCCTGAGACTGGTACTGTAGACTGCATTTTAAAGTTTGAATTAATAACCTGCAGAGCACGTTACAACAGCTGCTGTCCCTGAGGAGGATCTGGAGGTTTCCCATTCAACTGTGCCTTTGATGACCAAACCCCATCTCAGTCTCCACTTCAAAGTCAATGTTATTGGATGGGAAACCATGACATCTAAGATGTTGTTTTCAAGACCTTGCCAGAGGCCCAGGAAAGTCTTAGAGGTTTCCATGTAGAGAGTTGTTTTGAAGGAGTTGTAGAAGTTGAATCAAACTGGAATAATATGAAAGAGAGAGAGAGAGATCGATTGATTTATTATTTTGTCAGTTTCTTGTCCAAGCTTGTTTATTCTGTGTTCTTTCTTGAGTTTACAGAGATGATGTGTGAAACATTTGCATAGTTCTAAATTTTGGTCTACTACCTAATTATTTCTAAAAGTAATACATCACATTTCCCTTTGTCTTGATGTGTTTGTAAGCAGTTTCTAAGGGTGTTTTCTGAAGGTGCTGTAGCTCAGGCCTGCTTTCACACAGGATACATTTAAGGAATATCACTGTAATTAGTGATTACATCATTACACAGTAAGTGGTCTCAAAATCTGAAACATGAATGTAATAAAGAACTGTTTGCAAATGCGTAATTCATGTTTTTAGAAATGCATGTGCATATTAGCAGTCTGATGATTTTAAAATACAGGAGCAACTATTTATCATGATTTTTATTAATAAAATACCCGATGACATGTTTCTCTTTTAGAGAAAATAGTATGAAGGAAAAACTTATCCTATGATATATATCTTTCGAACAAAGGAGTTAGATTTTGATGTCTTAAAAAAAATTCACCTCAAGGGGAGATGAGCCATGTCCACACAACAGCAGCTTTTGCTGAGCGAGAGCTAACAGGTGTGGACAGAATGATTGCAGGTGTGCTTAGGGCATTTCTTCTCACCTCTGCTTCAAAGGATACTAGAGAGGGACCCCTGAACACCCAGGGGATAAGAGCTGTGTGTGCTAGAGAAAATAACTCCCAGTTTAAAGACTTCATATTAAAAGTGACATTTTTATATGAATGTCTATCCAGAATTGTTTTCTATTTTAAGAGACATATGTTAGAATCGATTTTTAATTATCAGCTACCTACTATGTATGTAATTTTTACTTCACCAATAAATCACAGAAAAACCTCCCATGAATTTGAATTGTCTTAGGTACTACTAAATCATTATACCTATACTTGTTATTAGGTGTAATGTCAAGAAACATTTTGTTTTTATGCTTTAGTGAAGAGATGGTGCTTTGATGACAGGGAATAAACAAAATATGAAGCTCTTGAGAGAGCTGAAAGTCCTTAGATCAACTTCTCACATGGTATATATCTATCCAACAAAGCTTTCTTCTCCAGGCTTGTTCATTCTCTGTTCTTTCTTGTGTTTGCAGAGATGATGTGTGGAAAGCTTTGCTGGAGCAAAGCTTTGCTGGTTCAGCTCATGGAAACAGCCAATGTGGTATCAGAATTGGTCCCTTTTTTTCTTCTTGGAAAGCTGGTCTTTTTGCAGACACTATTTTCACATAGGATTCATTAAAGGAATACTGCTGTAATTAGGGATTATGTCATGCAGAGTAGATGTTTCAAAATCTGAAACACGAGCATGGTGAGGATCTATAGTCACACATTGCTTAATGATGAGGATATGTTCTGAGAAATATGTTGTTAGGCAGTGTCCTCATGGTGCAAACATCATAGAACGTACTTCCACAAACCTAGATGAGATAGCCTACTATACACCTAGGTGATATGGTATAGCCTTGGCCCCTAGGCTACAAACCCGTAGAGCATTTACTGTACTAAATACTGTAGGCAGTTATAACACATTAGCGAGTATTGGTGTATGTAACAACATCTAAACATAGAAAAAGGACAGTAAAACTATGGTTTAAAAACTAAAAATCGTGGTGTTCCTGTGTAGGGCACTTAAGCATGAATGAAGCTTGCAGGAGTGGAAGGTGCTCTGGGTGAGTCAGAGAAGGAGTGGTGAGTGAATATGAAGGTCTAGGACATCATCATACACCTTTATATGATAAACGAGGGCTGTCCTGGAGGCCTGGTTTATACCAGCAACACCACAAACATGAGTAATGTGCTGTGCTATGACATTACGATGGCTAAGACACCACTAGGCAATAGGAACTTTTCAGCTTATTTATAATCTTACAGGACTACTGTCGTGTATGTGTTCTGTTGTTGACTGAAGCATCGTTATGTGGTGCATATGGTATTTGCAAATGTGTAATTCATATTTGTAGGTGCTTGTGCATATTAACAGTCTAAACAATGTCCACACTGACTGTGGCATGCTATATTGGGACACTTTTAAGTGACTCATTGTGAATTCATGAGTGTTTCCTAGGCTAGCCTGGCTCTCCTGGGCCTCTTTCTTGCTGTTTCCCTGGGTCCTGAGGGGCAAGTGATGATGAATGTGGAAATCGGAGCCCCATGCATCCCCCTGGACATGAGATGGCAGGACCATTTGGGGGTCTCAGCTGTTCCATATGGAGTCCCCATCTACCCTGGGCTCAGGCTTCAGGCCATTAGCCCAACCCCACTGAGCAGAGGCGTTCTAAGTCCGGTGCCCTTCTATGTCTTTTTACCTTTTCCACAAGATTCTGGCACATGAGACAGGCACAGGGAAATGAATTACGTGCATAGGTCCTCAGAACTTGAAGGTGTCTTGCCATCCAGTTTACCACCCATTTTATAGCTGAGCAAACTGAGATCAGGTTGACCTGCCCTGGGTCCTGGGCTGGTGTTCTTCCTACTCTGTTTCCTTCTGAAAGCTGCCATATACAGGGAAGATATGTGCATGCTTTGAATATATTTTCTTTCTTTTAGTAAAGCAAATCATAGAGTCAGAGCTGACTTGAGAGGCCCCTCAGGCTTCCCAGGTTGTCAGCCAGCCCCTGCGGGACACTCTGAAGTGCTAGAGAGGGTTCCACTCTACGCAGAAGCCACCTCTGAGGCTCTCATTAGGAAGCGCTCGGTACGAGTTCAGGTTGTCTCCTTGTAATCTTCAGCGAGTAGCCACAGTTCCTGTGGACTCACACAGCACCTGCATGTGTATCGTGCCCCCAGGAGAGCCCCAGGATAGCATGCCCTTCATTCCCTTACCAGTTCGTCACGTGAAGATTATGAGGTTGGCCCATTTTGTGCCTCGAATAAAACTACAAATTAAATTAGTGACCCATAGCTTTTCAAAAAAATATTTACATTGAAGGAGGGTATGTAATTTTCTAACTTAGAACTTAAGCATAAACTTAACATCATAGGTCTGACCCAAGGTGTGGCTCCTTAGTTCTTTTATAATGTCCAGAGATGAAAAAAAGATCCAGAGATGAAAAAAAAATCCCAAATATAGTTTAGGTGATAGAAACTTACTGATAAAAATAATGACTGTGCTGTAGAATTTAGAGTCGGAAACATACTATTGCCTAATGTATACAGGTTGTGCATCCCAAATCAGAAAATCTGAAACTCGAAATGCTCCAAAATCCAAAATTATTTTGAATGTTGACACAATGCCCAAGGGAAATAATCATTGGAACATTTTGGATTTGGGATTTTGGGGTTTGAGATGCTCAACTGGTATAATAAAAATATTCCAAGATCTGAAAAATCCCAAAATTCAAAACAATTCTGGTTGCAGGAATTTTGGATAAGGGATACTCAACCTGTACTTGGTTATCACATTAATCAGTAATTAGGGATAGACTTGATTTTCCCAGTGGGTAGGCAGATGTAATTTAAAGTCAAAACCTTTAGGAACATGTGCGGAGGGAAAATAGGGTGGCATAGGTTTCATAAATTAATCATTAATGAAAATAGATCGTATCACCCAAGGATAGAATAATTTATGTGGAAAATCCTATGTCATCATATATTCTGAATAGCACTTCATTTACTGGGTGCCCAAGAAACAGAAAATATCTATCAGAGAAGTACATGGAGAATGTGGTATTTGCGGCTTTCCTTTCCGATTTCTCTTCTTCCTCTCTTTTCAAATACTGCCATACTGCCATGTGTTCTCCATGGCATAACCTAAGAACAGAAATCATGGGGCAAAGAATTTGAAAAAACAAGTAAAAAATAAAAATTAGAAGTTTCTCTCCTTTTTTTTCTTCTGCCATACAGAAGTATTCAGATGATGGGGAAGTAGAGATACAGCTGGGGAGGTGGCCAGAGAGGCTGACGTTCGCATAAATAATCCTGGCAAAGGATGTATGTTTTCAGAGCCTGCAAAGTGGCATGAAGTGGAGGGTTAATTTCTGATGAGGATGTCAGGTCGTTTCTCAGAAGGGATCATAAGCCAGACCGCCTTTTGGAAGGTGGAATGAACTCTAGGAGATCTTTGGTAGGGGAGCGGTGCTGTTGGAGCATTCAGAAAACTTCCTGAATCTGAGAAGCTGCCATTCCCGGTGTAGCCTGCCACTTCATCGTGGCGCTGTTTGTCTCCTGGGTGCTGAGCCCACATGTTTGAGCTCCCCAAGATTTGTTCTCACAATGTGTCTGTTCAGGTCTCTCTAGTCTTCACCTTGTCATCTGATCCACAGTTTCAGCCCTTAGCAGTTTGGACACAATGCTCATGTCTATATCTCTAGCTCTGACGTCCCTCTAGAACTACTCACCTGCATTTCAAATGAGCCATCAAGTATCTCTTACCGGGTGGCCCAACTCACCGCAAACTAAACACTTTTTCAGAAAACAAATTCTTCATTTTTTAGTACAAACCAAAACCTTCTCTGGAAGTTGCTCTGTCTTTTAATGGTATCTGTGATCTCCTGGCAACCCAGACTGGGAATTTCAAAATCAGCATTATGTCATGCCTGCTTTTTTGGGGGGGTGGAGGGGGAGGAGACAGAGTCTTGCTCTGTTGCCTGGAGTGCAGTGGCACGATCTTGTCTCACTGCAGCCTCTGCCTCCCGGGTTTAAGCAGTTCTTTGCCTCAGTCTCCCGAGTAGTTGGGATTACAGGCGTGTGCCACCACACCCAGCTAATTTTTGTATTTTTAATAGAGACAGGTTTCACCATCTTGGCCAGGCTGGTCTTGAACTCCTGACCTCGTGATCCACCCACCTTGGGCTCCCAAAGTGCTGGGATTGCAGGTGTGAGCCACTGCACTTGGCCATGTCATGCTTGCTTTTTGCCTTATTTTCTGTTCACTCATCATTTCTGGTAAATTCTTTTTCTCTGGCACTTACCCCATCCTCATTCTTCTCTCTCCTCATCTCTGTTAAAACTGTGGTAGTGCTCACCTGAGCTATTCCTGGCATACCTTGGCTTTCTAATCCACGAAGTACATGGTCCTTGGTAATTTTCCCTTTGACCCCATTTCGATTGCTGCATGGTGCCCCTATGCCTGCTTCACCTGTCAGACTTCAGGTCCTCCATGACCTGGCCCTCCTACCTTTCCTGCGTACCATCCTGACATATACTCCCAACTAGCCAAATGTGAGTAACAAAAATGTGTCGCTCACGTTTTTTTATGAGGGCTTGTGCTTTCCTGCCTTTTGGTTTTGATTTAAACCATTCATCTCTGGAATACACCTCCCCCAGCTTTCTATCCCTACCCCCACCACCTGCCATCTCTCTCTGCAGATTCTGTCACTTTTAGGTACATTTCAATTTTTACTTCCTCTAAAAATCCCTCAATGTGATGTTTTTGTTCCTGGAAACCCCTGGGGCTCTTGACTTGTATCACTTTTATTACCTACTAGCTCTTGTAGTTATTTGTTTTTATGTCCTCTCTCCCCTACAGACTATAAGCTCTTAGGGGGTAGGGCCTATGCCTCTTAATAATTTTAGTATCTCACACACTAAAGGGCACTGTCCTTTACAATAGTAGAATTTTAAGGGAAGTTCTCTCCCAATAGAAACTTTTTCTCTTATGTAAGGGCATGGAAAAAGAGATTTTTGACTTAGGTATCTTTGAGAGTATTTTGTATTGGGAACATATTTTTACTTTATTTTTGGATTTTGATAGTTGATGAAGCTCATAATTATGGCTCTCACAGTTTTCGAGGACCTCTAAAATGTCATTTTTATTGACTGTGGTATACATAGAGATAATTTACCTAAGTCAAAGAGTAGAAAACTCTTTGAACTCTAATTATATTCAGAGATAAACATCATAAAGACTGATTAGTAGTCTCACAAGTGTCCAGTAACCTTTATACCTCCTTGCATATACTTAATTGTTTTTAAATAATTGGGCTAAAACCCTACTTTTGAGGCTATTCCTGAGAGAATTTCAAAATTTCCAAACTTAGATGTCTTGATTTGACGAGGTTAGATATTCTCATTAATCAATTCTCGGCCTTTTGGCTAAGATCAAGTATAGATATTCTCATTAAATTCTAGAGTTTTATTTCTTGTTTTAATATTTAAAATAAGTACGTGTTCTTTTAATTATTGAATAGGATTTGGGTTCTGGCGATAATAATCTGAAGTGGAAAATTGCTAGCCTTTTGGAAGTCTAATCAATGAAAATGAGGGTTAATATGAAAGCTTTTTGCAATGTTAACTTTAGGGTGTACACTGATGAATACTGTAAAATATATTTACATACATAACACACCTTTTATTTTCTACGTCTGACATGCATTTTAAATAAGATCAGGGTTGACAAGAAATGTTATTAATAACTCTTACAGAAACGGCCATTAACCCATCTCATGTTCATCAGCAAAGAGAGAGTCATTTTTTATTCATGGAAAAAGCAGCCGAAGGTGGCTTGTGAGGTCAGACTTCAGAGAAGCCATTGCCTGTTTGATATTACTCTTAGTGATGTCTTTGTTCATTCTCTTCAGAAACACTCAGACAATGATGATTTCTGCCCAGAGATAGGATTAGATTGTAAGCATGTTTTGTTTTATTTTTAAGGATGTTGGCCATTTCTGCTTATAAGATTCACTGAAGGTTTGGGGAACATTTTTATTTGTAGTACACATAATGTCTAGTTGAACTGCTTCAGTTTTCTTGGCTGGCTTATTTTCTGAAGGTTAGATTATGTGCTTTCCCTTTCCTGATCCTACATTCTTTTAGCGTATTCTATGTGGTAAGCATAAGCTCAGCACCGGGGCTGCCATGACCTGGGCAATGGTAAGTCCTCACTAACCCTGGCCGGGAGTGGGGAGACAGGGTTTTGCACATAAAGCCATGATGCAGGGAAATGTTAGCAAGGCTGTGATTGAAGACCACACAGCATGTGGTGGGCAGGGGAGGGAGGAGGCACAGGAAGGGGGAAGTATCTGTGCACCCTGAGTGAGGTGAAGAAAGATCTCAGGCCCTGCAGGTCCTCTCCAGGCTGGCTCAGCACTACTGCGCCATTATGTCTTCAGATGGAATTCTTCCACACTGGTTTTAGGTAATTGACAACCTTCTGAATTTGCTATAAAATATTCCACCAAAGGGGGGAAAAAAAACTAGAGGTGGGAGAAGATAGGTGAAAAAAGATTGACAAATATTTGAAAATATTTGAAGCTGGGTGATGGAACCATGAAGATTCATTGTACTCCTTGACTTGCTGTGTATGTTTGAACATTTCCGTAGAAGGTTAAACTCCATCTTCTCTCTGTATTTGTTTTTATTGCTTTTTTGTTTTATTTTATTTTTACATTTAGTGGTCCCTAGAAGGCTCTTAGATAACCTTTTTTTTTCTTCTAACCTTTTTGAATTATAACAGAGATTGTGTATATTGACATTATGATGTTTTGATATACATATGCATTGTGAAATGATTACTACAATCAAGTTAATTAGCATATCCATCACCTCACATAGTTACCTCTTCTGTGTATATGTGTGTGTATGTGTGGTGAGAACATTTAAGACCTACCTTCTTTGCAAATTTCAAGTACATAATAAAGTGTTATTAATGATCAACCTTATGCTGTTTATTAGAGCTCCAGAACTTACTCCTCCTGAATACCTGAAACTTTGAGCCCTTTAGCCAATACCTCCCCATACTGAAGAGATGATACAGTCGTGGTGAAGAGTGCAGACTCCGGAGATACACTGCCTGGGCTCACATCTCACCTCTGCTGTTTGCTAGCTTCGTGACTTTGCGCAAGTTACTTAATTTTTCTGTGCCTCTGTTTCCTCATTGCAAAATAATAATAATATTAATAATGATTAAAATAAGTTAAACCATCAATAGGGTCGATGGGAGCATCAGATGGAATTAATATCTGCAAAATACTTAGAAAAGGGCTTTGCCCAATAATAATAATGTTTCTGTGGGCATTTCCATCCATTGGCCATGTGCGTGAGGATTCAGAAGCTCAGTTGGAAGATGACCATGATGGATTAATGTATCTCTCATGGAGGAAAGAAAATGCTTCTGCTGACATCTGAGTCAGGCACATGACGTATATTCTGGTTCTGAATTTTTATAATCACCTCGCATATGTATGGTGAATAGCCTTCTGAGTGAGTGTTAAGCTAAAAAGCATCATTTCTGAGACATGAAAGTGGAGGTTGATCATTTGATTTTCATGGCAATCTCTTTCTTCTGAGTTGTACACTTGTGGTGGTTTGGACATTGACAAAATATAGACAATGAAAATCATGTTTTGATTTCTTTATTTAAAAAGGCTATGCCATGCCTTTAGCACATTACCATTTGAGTGAATATATTCACTTGGCTTCCCTGTAAATGAAACATACTTATGCAAGGTGACTAATACATTAATCTAAGCTGATGGCATTTAAAACCTCTGCTCAAAATAGAAAGTGAGAGTTGGATCTGATTTTATTTCTGTGCCTTTTCAATGTCTGTTGGAAGAATGGAAACATTTGATTCACAGTACTTAAAGGGCTTTGCACAGCTTCTCATTTTGCTAGAGCCTAATTTCCTTTGTATTAGGGCTTACTTTGTCAAACATCTCAACCCAATTTGGGTGGGTGAAAAAGAGAAGAGTGAGAACAAAAACTAAAATAAGCTTCTGATTTCCTCTGGAAATGCGGAAGTCAAACAAATGTCACTGATGGATTTCAGTATCTAGTTCCCTGGAATCTGTAATTATGAAATTTAAAGTATTCTTTATGAGAAAAAAATAGAATCATTTTTACTGAATCTTGCTGTTAATTTTCCCAATTATTCCCACACATTCAGTTCTTTCTCTTTCCTGTTTTCTTTGCTTCCTTCCCACACATTTACAAAGGAGAACACTTTTTTCTGAGTATTTTTGAGCATTGCCTTTAATAAGTGAAAATATTTTCTTATTGCTTCAGTAACTCCTAGTTTGTCCACCTTAACTCAGATATCTGGATCTAACTTAGAAATCATATTGTTTCTCTAGAGGTTTATAAAGTTTGTAAGTGCCATATTCTAGGATGCTCTAGCCCATTCAATATGTTTAACGAAGAAAAGATACCGGGAGCTATGGAAATCATATTTTAGATAAGAAATATGACATATTAGCATGTGTAATATGCATAAACCCCAGCATTTTCAATAATGGAATCGTCTTTGGGAAAGTCAGTTAACCTTACTGGACTAAGATTTTTATCATGAAGTTCAGAGGGATTGGATTAAATGAATTGACCAATTTGGGCTCTCAAGAGCTGGCATTCTGTGACTTTATTCTGTTAAAAAAAAATGAAACCATTTATGGTCTTAAGTAAGGAATAATAGAATTGTATTCAAGGAAAATTAATATGATAATGGTGAATAAAGTAGTTTGGAGAAGGGAAACTGGGCATGAGACATCTTGGTTCTGCCAAAATTAATGATGCTTTCCCTCTGGGCCAGAGTTTACTTTTGTTATTTTTTTCATTGTCTTAATAAGATACAAATTTTAGAACAATAACAGAGAACAGTGCAAAGGTTTTACTGCCTTGCTTTTTTCTGTAAAATGCAGAGCTATGAGATGCTTGGAAGTTATTTTCTTGCTCTAGCCCTCTCTCTAATGCCGAGCATCTTGGATTATTAGTCCGGTACCAGAACAAAAATGAGGAGATGCAAGGAGGCGGAAAGGAAGAGGGGGAAACATTTTCATACATTTTATTGCTTTTATCTTAGCAGAAACTCTAGGTCAGAGGTCACATTTTGTCACAACTCTAATTTCACTTGAGACTGTGGCAGAGTGAGAATATCGACAAGCAAACAAACATAGCTTCTAGATGAATCTTGCTTCTCATGGGAACTTTGCCAACAGTACGTGCTTTCTTGCATTGTTGTAACATGTGTAGGCCGTCTTCTGGGAAGGTTCGTAAAAACCCTTGTGGTATTTTTCTGAAGGCAGTAGACAGAGTGAAGAGATTGATAATTTCTCCTTTTTTTTTTTTTTGCAAAGAAAAAGAAAATAATTTATATGGTTATATCAGAAGGTTATTTGGGCTCCTGTAACAGGCAGCAGTTAGCAGGAGAGAGTTAATGGAAGCCTGAACTAGGGGGTTACAAGAGGAATGATCGAGTCAGAAGGTGCCATTTCACACTGTGTACAGGATTGTACAGGAGCTTTGATGAGTTTTATTGATGGGGCTTTGATGAGTTTGGGTTTGGTCACGTTGAGAAGCATTCCTATAACTACATCCAGCAGACATCCATCCTGTAACTGCATCCGCAGCAGCATGCATCCATTCCTATAACTACCTCCAGCAGATTGGGGCTGAAAATAAGGAGAGTAGCCATGGAAAATAAGTGATGTTTGGAATCGTGACCGACATCATTGAGGGAGTGCATGCAGAATGAAACGGGAAGAGGGAAGCTGACACATTGTGCAGGGAGTATCTATGTAGGTTGTGGGGGTGGGAGATGGGAGACAGCTGGAGAAGGCTTGGTCAGCAAGGAGGAGGCGTGTCAGCATCACCAAAGCTGAGGGAGAGAGGTTCCTGGAAAGAGATGGCTGGTCAAACCATCTGTGCTGTGGTGCTGAGATGTTTCGATATTGAGGAGAATGGATCTGCAGACTGTGACTAAGATGTCACTGGTGGCCGGGCGCGGTGGCTCACACCTGTAATCCCAGCACTTTGGGAGGCCGAGGCGGGCGGATCATAAGGTCAAGAGATCGAAACCATTTTGAAACCCCGTCTCTACTAAAAGTACAAAATTAGCTGGGCATGGTGGTGCTCACCTGTAGTCTCAGCTACTCGGGAGGCTGAGGCAGGAGAATGGCTTGAACCCGGGAGGCGGAAGTTGTAGTGAGCTGAGATCATGCCACTGCACTCCAGCCTGGCAACAGAGCAAGACTCTGTCTAAAAAAGGAAAAAAGAAAAGATGTTACTGGTAGCTTTGAAGTAAGTTTTTAACAAAATGTATGAAGGCAGAAATCAGGTTACAAGGGGGTAAGGAAGGTAAAGGTGGAGAGTGTCTACTACTGTTGAGAAGTGTGGTGAGGAAAAGGGAAAGAACCGTAGCAGGAGAAGTTTGTTTGTTTTGTGTTTGCTTTTTTTTTTTTTAAGCACATAAGAATGCTTATGCTCTGAGGAGAAAGATCCAGTAACCAGGGAGCAATTGAAGATGAAAGCAAGTGAGGATGGGAGATAGAGCAATTCCTGGGGCAAGTAGGAGGGAATGCTATTAAATATACAAGTGGCAGTACAGCCATGAAGACAGAAACAAAGGCATAAAGGATGAGTGCTGAGAAATTTTGGACAGAGAAGAAAAGGCTTCAAGGAGGTCATATCAGGTCACCTCCTTTGTCCCTAATAATTAAGAAATAGAGTTTTTGCAGAGAGTAGCCATGATGGAATCGGATATGCGATTGCATAAAGAGGCAGGTAATGGTTCTTTGAGTAATACACTGAGTCAGTAAGAGGTGCATGGGGAAATTGCAGAGTTGCACAGAAGGCCCATGTGAGGTTAGAAAACATGATTTTATACCGGAAACAATGCTGTCTCCAGTGATGTGGTGGTAGATCCCACGTCTCTAATTTTTTCCCCATTCATGATAATTTATAGCAATTAAACCTCCAAAGTGAATATATAATGTTTGGAGCTTGGAGTCAAGTGATACATACAACTCCATGGAGGCAGAGGTGCTGGTTGAAGAGGGGTGTATGGAGCCCTGAGCCTGCTCTGTCTGCCTCTTTCCCTTCCCTGTCCTTTCTACCTCCACCAGTTACTAAGGGACTCCATGCAGCACAGTTGAAAATTG